TCTGCTTTAGTAATTTGGCTAATGTTATGTTCGGCTTGCAGAGTGCAGCAGCGGCCAGGGCTGCTGAATTGCAGGGCTAAGGGCTGGAGCCAGATCAAAGCCCCAGGGTAGACAAAAGGGAGGCTCTGACCGCTTGGTTGCAAAGGAAGGGTCTGTGTGGGTTTAGCTTATGGTGGTTTGAAATGAAAAGAAGTTCATTACTATGGAAGTGTTTGAAGTTGCTTAAATAAAAGCTTAAGTTCTGGACCATGTGTGAATTGTTGTGGCAGTATTTCTTAGAAGTTTACTAGTSTAACTCTTTCGGACTTTGCAAGCACCCTTCGTGAACTAGCTTGGAAAGATGGCAGCTGCTTCTGCTCATTCCTGGTGGTGTAACCGTTTGTATGTAGATGATGTTCATTGGTGCTGTTAACCTGCTTATTCATTTGTGGGGGTTTTTTTTCATTTGTATTGAAAAGATTGTGATTGGGAGTTCAGATTTGTCTGATGCAAAGTAGAAGTCTGTTAGAAGATGTCTGTAAGTTGTGTTCCTTTTTCAGTACCAAAACCCTCAAGAATACTTTGATATTAAATTTGATATCAAATTATTTGATAAAAATACAAAAATTATGTTTTTTAAAAACATCTTTTTGCTAAATAGCTGTTAATTAGCTCTGAAACAGTAAGGGCTAATGTAAAACCTTTGTTTAATAGATTTGCATTTGTGGTTACCAGGGCTCTTTCACTTCGACAGTCRGTTAACTGTGCCAGAGCAACCAGTTGGCTCCCAAGGTTTTCCACTTAACCTGTCTCAGTTACATGCTTTTCTGTTCGAGAGATGCTCCCCATGTAACCTAATCTCTGCTGTTTTGTTGTAAAGAAATGCTTAAATGTTTCAGCATGGAAAATTAAGAATTGATAAGTTTGATTATCCATTGATAATCACAAACCTTTGATTGTCTTAAAAACCTTTGCTTTCTAGTGGCACTCGTTTATTACAAGGATTGATACTTAACCTCTCAGTCCATAGCAGGCCTCTGCTTTGCAGAAATAGATCCAGAAGTCTGGACGGCTTCCAGATCATTGTTTGCTACAGTTGTCACTAGTGTTTTGGAGTTTGGTAAGGACGAGGGAAAGTGACTTAAAAGCCAGTAAGTCTTGGAATRAGGCAGAATAATATTTTCATCATACTACATGCTCTGACAATTTTATGTAAAAACATAGTAGCAAATTCTAAAACTCTTAAAATAGAACATAACCACAACTTAATCTGTAATGATGCAGACTGTTCTGTTAAATTTCTGCAATGTGGTGTAAACTGATGAAAGTTCCCTTCAGAAGAGTTAAAATATGTGTCTAAGATCTGTTTTGGTGGGGTTTATTTTGTTTCAAGTTCATATTTTGATTGTTTACCTTTAAAGTTCTGTCCTGTGAAGAAAAGTACTTGCTTACTTGCTTTATAGTATCTTAATTTTACACAGTGTGATGACTCCGTGCTTTAATTTAACTTTCTCCTTAAAACAAGAAAAAAAAAGCACCACTCAACACAGAGTTAGTGTGGAGATCAGATTTGYATCAGTTTTTAAGTTACAGAAAATTATCAAAAAACAGCAAAGATCCATGTTTCTTGCTGTTGTAAAGTATGAAGAAAACCACATTCTCTTTATAAACAGCTGGATTTTAGTGTACTGAAACTATGCTTTGTACAGTAGAAACTTTAGATTTTGTATCCCTTTCGACCATCAGTTTTCCCTCCCTCATTCTGAGGAACTTTTCCAACYGTTTCATATGGTGCCAGATCTATTTCTGAGTTCTTCCCTCCTCCCAATCTGGACATAGAAGTGAGAACACGAGGAGTGCACTAGTTTGTGTTAGTTATATGATCTGTGGTAGAAGAATATAAAGTTCTATTGTTTAAAAATGAAAAAAAAATGTACTGGAAGTTGTAGAGGAAAGCCTGTTTCTGTTTGAATCCACTCTACATAAAAACAAAACCATGTCTCTCTTCTTAAAAAGGCAGAAAATACTTAACTACCCAAATCAGAGAAGCAACTTCCTGCAAATTCCCAGTTCAAGGCTGTCTGAAAAGGATATACTGTTTGTTGAGGAAATTATTTTTATCTCTGTGCAATGCTCATGTTTTGAGAGAACATTGAGAAGAAACAGTGACCTGGTGTTGGAGAAGATGATTTATGATGTGAGAATTGAGGAGCTGTTCCTTTAGTTGATGACAAGGATAGAGGTGAACTGAATATTTTAGAGACATTGGGAAAAAAATCAGATCCTTAATTAAAGAAGAAAGCTGTAACAGCAGCATATATCTGGAAGTTTTAATGATAAAGTAATCAAACAGAGCAATAGTGTCTCCATGCATATATTAGTCTTGTGAATTGTGTTTGGTATAGAGGTAGCTGTGAAATGAAATTATGTTTTCAGGTGACCAAATCAAATTCTCTTAAGGTCTACAATGTTATCTCCATGCTGTATCTATTGCCCCCACCCCGTCTCCACCTCTCTCTTGCCATAATTCATGTCAGGATATTCATAATGAGTTCCAAACTTCTCAACCAATGCAAAGTTACACATTTCTGCACCAGCAGCTTACAGAATCGCTGTAGGTGTCTGTAGGAGGCAAACCTGTCAGATGAACAACTGAGTTTTCCCTCCTCCCTTAGGAGGATAGATAGGATTCTCAGCATTACCAGAAATAGTTCATGGGTTTTTTTTTAAGTATTATTTTCACATAATAAAAGAATAAAATTCCTATTAAATAAAATGTTTTCTTTCATCTTAAGCAATAGTATTTATTGCAAGAATTCAGTTGTTGTTAACTGGTTTCCATTTTAAAAACTTGCTTTTGATTATGCTATCAAGTGTGATCTTAGGAAGGAATCAGATTGAAATGCATTTGCTGKAGAAATTGCGAAGTCAAGGCATTTTTTACTTTCCTCCTGCACTTGCAAGCTACAGCTGTGTTCTGAAGGTACACTTTTAATGTTAATTGGGTGTTAGTGGTAATAATAAAGGTCTACCACTGCTCCTCCAAGCATTTTTTAGGTGATTGACACCATATTGTTCCTAAATTAAAATTTGAAAAAAAAAGACAAACCTCTGAAATTCACCTCACCCTCCACCCCAAAGGCCAGAATGCCTTACCACAATACAAGCTGTACATACCAAATTATGTGGTAAAATGACAGTCAGTGTTCAGCTGGTTATGTGGACAAGCCTTCATTTTGTTGCCTGATGAATCTAGGAATAGTGTCTCCAAAAAATTACTGATTGTTGTGTTGAGATTGAGTGTTTAAAGAATACATTCAGTTTAGATGTTTGGTGTGGGGTTTTTTTTTGGTCTGCTTCAGAGTTGACCCCTGTCTGGGAAAAGAATGTGGGCCTATTTCAGGAAACAAAACATTTAACATGCCTRCAAAAATGCAGCATTCCTTTTTTTTTGATTGGAAGACACCCTGTTTAACTCCTTCCTAACCCTTTATTGGAAGTAATATTTTCTGCACCTTTGCATTGAATGAATGATTTCASTGCTGTCTATGCGCAATTCCTGTACAGTCCTATGAACGTATGGACTACAAGATTATCTTGTGTCACCCTTCTTTCTCCTGAAAGTCTCAATCATTGCGTTCTTTTTCTTTAATCTTCCCATCTCAAACTCTTGATTTTTCTTCCAGTATTTTATTGTCCCTAGCCTAATTCACTTAGGATTCTGCCTCATGAGTGGAAGTGGTTGTAATGGTTGGGCTTATGCTCTACTCGTAGCTTTATTTCATGCGCATTTCCCTGATCAGCTGAAAATCATCATTCAGTTTATTTGAAGTGGAATTGTTTTTTGTTGTCCTTTCGCATTTCTGTCTCTAAACTCTAGCAGTTCAGCTGCTGATCTGTAGGTGGTGTGGCAGTTTCTGCATAGCTGGGGGTTTGGTAATCCTGTAGATGGTCAGGTGCGTGCTCGCTGCTCTGAACCTCTGTTTATTCCTAGCTGAGCTGCCTTGCTTAAGAATTGATCTTGGCTGCTGATATAGTGCTGTCTGTTCCAAGAGCACTGGCTCTACTACACTCATATGCAAGATGATGGCAGAATGCTGTGATATAGCAAAAACTAAATCTGTGCTGGAGACTTCCATAACAAAATATATGTTAAAATTATGTTGATAGTCCTCTAGAGCTACATAAGAAAACATAACGGAAAATATGCCATGCCTTYTGCTGATTATTCCTGACTTTGTGCTCTACCATTTCTATATCCATTCATGTGAAATGATGGAGATTGGTATCATTCTAAAAAGAGTTAAAGCCTCTATGATCCAGTACAGAATTAGAAGGAGGTTTTTAGAATATRCATCTACAGTGAAAGAGGATGTCTCAATATATATGGCTAGTGAAAGGGTCAAGAGATTTTGCCTCACCTTTCTTCRTGTTTTGCTTTTGTTTGGTTCTGTTTGTTTCACATCAGTATTCTGAAAGAGGAGAGTTTTGYCATTTAAAACACTGTCTTCCTGTTCCTCTGTGCTTCCATGGTATTGTTTTATCCACCTAGTTTCTCAAGTGTTATGTAGTTAAATAACAGGACAGGGAGTGTCCTTTGGTTCAGTGTGTACTAAGGCTTGATTGTCTAAAATGATCACTTTAAAATTAATCTAGATAAGTCACTGTGTATTTCTTTACCAGGAATTTGCAGAAAACCATCCAGAGAGTTGTGGGAAGAGAGTCTGGAAACCTTCCTGGGATACACAGGAAAGCACATTCCCTTATAGTTACAGTGMTATTTCAACCTCAGTATATCCCTGACTTCCCATCTTCTGATCTCCTGAGACCATRCATTAGGCACTTATGGCATTCCATACTGAATTTCATTACCCTCAGTATAAAGAATAAAAACTTCAAGAGTTCCTTTACCAATAATAATTTTTCTTTTAAATATCTTCAGTTCTTACAGCTGGGTAACAGTATGCAGCAGTTGACTGAATATTTGAAACATATGAACAATGTTCTGTTCTTTTTTACAGAGAATGCAGAATCAATTGATCTCAAACAGTTTTTCGACCTACATTTTTCACATATATATTATGTGTTCTTTGAAAATTTTGTGACTATTGAAGTAGGCCTTAAACAAAAAGGTGAGTATTTCAGTTAAARCTCTTTCTGTCGTGATGATTGTGGTTTCATTACAAAATAAAGCAGAGTGCTTTAAATAAAGCTGCRTGGTCACAAATGGCAGCATTAGCTGTGCAGAAATATGTGTAAGCATTGACTTTGCAAATAAAGACAGAGCAATGAGATGTGCATGCTGGGGAAGTGAGCAAGAAGTGTTTATTCTCTGATGACTGGGTTTGCCCTTTTGCAGAGTGAGGATTCTTAAGGTGTTATGCTTTGTGTTCTSCCGAATTCTTCTTTAACAAGATACTGTGTTACTTAATCTTTCACAGTTGTAGGTGCCATGATAGGAAGGTATAAAAATTGTAGATGTTATAAACCATATTTTAGGGTATAATTTTTATTTGCAGATGTAATGAAAATTTATGGTTGTATAAATGCATGTTTTCATTTTACACACTTAAGGATCTTTGTTTTCATAATAAAAGTGCATATGCTATTTATTTTTAATTGCAACTAGGTCACAAGTCTCAGAGAGAAGAATTAGATTCTATTCTTTTTATTTTTGAGGTAAGATAATCTGAATATATTTTTGTGCTTTAAGTCCTGTTATTCTGCTGTTGTAAATACACTCTGCATTTAACTGCATTCCTTCTTTTGCATAGTGCTGAATTTATGTGCTTTGTGGGAAAAAGAAAAATTTGACTTTCAGTTTAGCAAGAAGATGTCTAAACTGCAAAAAGATTTTTCTGTATCTCTAGATAATTGATTACTCTTTGGTGGTGGTGTTTCCCTGTAATGTATTATACACAATGAAATGCTTATAAAAGTGATCTCTGTTTAGTCGTGATCTTTTTGACCTTTTGATTGCATGTTATCTCTGATTTTTCTCAGATTGCYACTGCAGAGTTTTTTTGATAGATCCTTTTTATTTAAAAAAATATTCATTATTTGAAAATTGCATTTCACAATATTCTTTCCAAAAGCATATTTGGGCTTAAGATTAATTAGAAACTAATGAAATAATTTAATAAACTCAGAACATTTCTGAGCAGACATTATAGTTTAGAAATAGCTTAGAATGTCAAGTTTTCGTTTTTCCTTTTCGATGGAGGCATCTAATTATCGAATAAGGATTGTGGGTCTTTTTAAATATGCAAAACTAAAAGCTGATCGATGCTTATCACAGGGTTGAATACGAATTCAACTATTAATTATTTATTTATTTGTGAAGTATATTGGTGAATCTGAAAGAGAGCTAGTTCATTTGTTCACTAGTTACTGCATAAAGGTGGTATGTGCTTTGGAAGCAGTTRAACTGTGTGCTGGAGGGCCACAGCCAGGAATTCATTTGGAAAATCAGGGTATTTACAAGTTGCAAATGCCTCTAGTGTAAATGTTGCAAGCGCTACATGGTTGATTTTTAACTGCCTTCATTACTAACTGCTCTGCTTGTTGCTGTCTGGAGATGCTCATTCTCTAATCTGTTTGTAGAAGCCTTGTTTTACTGTAGCTCATTAACCCTCAGTTGAGAAGGATGAAGCAAATGTTTGCTTGTGCCACAGAGGCAAGTTGATAGCCAGACACCCTAGTTGAAGCCATTAGAAAGGTGGAATAACTTAACACAGTCTGTTGTGAACCACAGCAACTGAGACAGACACTCATCCCATTCCATTGCCTGTGCTGTAAGCAGCAGTATCCATCAGAGAGGAAGTGGAGGCAGATGACCTGCACTAACATCTGAAGTCTCCAATGCAGGACTTGTCAGACAGCCTTTGAGCTTCTTAGCTTTAGGAATGGGATCATCTTTTAAGGACAATAATGCTTCTAAGGAAAGCAGTGTGGGAATTCTGTAAATTGGTGCTTCAGTTTCTCATSTGTGGTCTTTGTGAAAGTGCGAAGAGCAATGTCTGTAACATGCATCCTTGGGTTATGTTTTTTTACAGAAAATTTTACAACTCCTTCCTGAAAGGATTCATCAGAGATGGCAATTTCATAGTATTGGTAAGTTGATTTTTTCATTCTCTCTCTTCCTCTCTTCCTCTCTTTCTTCTGCTCTCTTTCTTTCTTTTGCACTCTCTCTCTTTCTTTCACACGCTCTCTCTTCATTATCTTTCATTTCTTATCAGTAGCTCATTTCCTTAAACTTTAAGTGACATAACAGGAATTATGGTCTTGAAAATTTTGCAAGCTTGGTGAAGGAAAGAAAAGTAAAGAAACAGACAAAAAAACCCCACCGATGTAATGAATACTCTTCTAGATAGATTTAAATTTGAAATGTGGAAATAGAAGAATGACTGAGAAAGAACAAGGACTGGGGAAAAGTTTAATTTTTAAATTTTTCTCTTTATTTTTTTCTCTTAGMAATACATTTCAAAATTGACATGAGGTCTGTATTTGTAAAAATTTGTAAATGCTGATTTTRTGCATAATGATGACTTGAGAATGATTTAATGTACATATCTCAAAAGCCCTTGGGTAAAGATATCTGAGGAAATGAAAGGTGATGTTTGACTTTTTTTCCTTCTGGCATTGAGTCAGTTGCTTGAAGGTATCAAGGTCACCAAGATTAAATTGGAGATTGCCAAGGACTTGTTTAAAAGTGACAATCAAGTCTGACCGAGAACTCTTGACATCTTACTTACTATAAAAAGAAAGAACAAAAGCAAACAAATTTTTTTTTTCTTTTTTTTAGGGTTGATTTTAAAGAAGCTTCTTCACACTGGAAATTCATTAAAGGTATTGCAAAAAGTTGCATGCACTTTTGTCTGCAATACTAAAAAACACAAATAAGAACGTAAGGTCAAATTTTTAGAGTAAAGGAACAGGAATGAGAACCAGACTTGTGTGCTGTGAAAGAGTGACTTCAAGTCATCAGCTTTATCCCAGTAAAACTACTCACAGTAGTAATGTGTATATTAGAAGCCAGTGGTTTAAAGGATTTTACATGAACGCAGTAGTAAGCCTTAACTCTTCATTTTTAGGGGCAAGAAAGCTGATTTTGGGGCTCAGGCTGCCTTGCAAGTGGAAGATTATCTATACCAGGGAGATCTCCTGGTGGGTAATTTAAATGGTTTACATGGGACAAAAGCCACCCAAATGTCAGACATAGTTTTGGTACTGCAGCAAACAGCTKCACTACTCCATGAACCACCTGCAGGCTTCTCTGGTACTGAAATTCTCCAGTGTGGGAGCCAGGAAGGGAGTGCTCTAGAACTTTATTGCCTTTCTTGAAGGACAGACRAAAGAAGGTAGAATTGGTCCTTCTGATACAGAAAGCTCACTCTGTGGTTATAATTCATGAACACATTTAGAAATTTTATGTCARTCTTTGTATTTTCTGATAAATTCACATGGCATCTTGCAGTGCTGCAGTCAAGCAGGTGGTTAGACATGTGTTGGTTTTCTTTCTCTTCTTTCAGAGAAACCCCTGTGAAAAATTATGTGAGKCAAATAGCAGTGAAGGTGCCAGGCTTGTCCTTGCATTTCATGAGGAGCAGCAGATGTGTTAGTTTGGCTCTGCTGATTGCTGGGGATCATACTGTCTTGTCTTCATTTTTTTTTTTATCGTTCCCCTTCTCCCTCCAGGGCAAATGGAAATGCTTTTGTATGTTGTGGGACAACATCATTTATTCCATGTTTTTTCTTTTAAGATACGTCGAGAGGGTGTGCGTCTCTTTCTTTTGTGGCTGCAAGCACTTCAAAATAACTGTAGTAAAGAACAATTATGGATGTTTTCTTGCTTGATACCTGGATTTTCATCACCACAGTCTGAATATGGCCCCCGAACACTAGATAATCTCATTAACCCTCCCCTTAATGTTCAAGAAAGTAAGTAATTTGGTAATATTATTTAATTCACAACATAATTCAAATCTTGTCACAGACAAGGGAAGTTGAAGTAACGAAGAACTAACATAYACATATACCCAGGGAGATTACAGGACTGTCATGAGTTTCTTAGCAGCTTATCAGGTCTTCTTTCTGTAGCAATTTTTGTCTTTTTTGTTGTTTTTCAGGATGAATTCGTTTTTGTGGTTGCTGGGCTTTTTCCCCCCAAGTAGGGTATTGTAGCTTAAYATACACTGGTGAAAATAAAATGATCAATTGCTTGTAATTCTTATGAATTGCAAGAGGATCCTGCATCTACTGCAAGTTTGCACAGGTGAATTCTGCTTATATCGAACATTTGCACTGGCTTTCGTAGTCCAGGGAGCAGGCTGTGCAAAGCAGTTTCTGGTGTGACCTTCAAGAGAAAGAGTGGTTGTTAGGGCAATGTGTCAGGATAAATATGTCTGTGTATGACCAGGCAATTAAGGCTGAGATATTCTTGTAACTTGTAATCTTCATAAAGAATCGGACCTTGTAAACTGCAAAACTTGAATTCATAAAGGTTTTCATCAGTGTAAAAGCTTGAGCATTCTGAGATGAGGTTTTTGTACTTTCTGGATTTTTTTTAAATGGTAAGGTCATTATCTTGGCTCTAGTCCATAGAGTGAAGATGATTTTTCTCTTAAGGTAATTCTTAKGACAGTTTTTCCTTTGTTCACTCAAGAATTATGTGCCTCCTAACCCAATTTATTCTTGATAGTGGGATTTGAAGCTCATTTATTAATGAATGGATTCCTTAGTATTAATTGGATGGAGTCTTTGAATGTGAGTGCAAACTGCATTCACCTAAATGGTAAAAATAACTTACTCACTTTTTTCCTTGAATGTTAAGTGCTATTGCCTTCTTTCCATCTTGTCTTAGTATCTGAGTACTTTATTGCTTGTAGAGGAAAGTGGTGTCTCTGTGACTAGTAATTATATTTACTGAAGCACCACAGAAAAAATTCATGGCAGGATAGCTCTGCAAGTAAAGTTTTGTTACCTTCCTAAGCCCTTTTTTGGAGTTAKCTTGTGAAATTCAGAGTGCAGAAAATGACATGTGAATATCTAACCACAGGAATAGGAGAAAAATTGACTCTGAACTGGCTTCACTGTTGAGGCAAACAGGGATACAGCTAGTAAAACTTAAAGGAAATGTAACTGATCAACTGCTAAATGGGAAAATGGTGAAAGATGTAAATAAAGATTTGACATTCATGTGCCATAAGTGTTAAACTATTATTTGGATAAATTCCAAGAGAAACGGATTACACCTTTTGGAAAAATTTGGGTTTGGCAGGTAGATTCCAAAAGTACCTAGAGAAAACCTAGTTATTGTCTGCTGTACGTTTTGTATGTGTAAGAAATTAGTTCTCTAGCACTTCATTAGTTAAAATTTCCTGATTTTCATTAATCTRTGGGTGGACTGTTTTACCTGTAATTGTCTCTGCTTACCGCAGTGCATTTCTACGTTCATGACTTGGTAGATGTTTACGCATAAGARGAAATTATCTAAATGTTAGATGTACTTCTGTTTTTCTTTAAATAGCTCAAGTGACTATAGAAGAAATCACTCCACTTGTTCCTCCACAATCAGGAGATAAAGGACAAGAAGATTTAACAAGCTATTTTTTAGAAGCACTTTTGAAATACATGGTAATTCAGGTATGCTCTATAGTTKTCAAGCAAGTATGTAACAATTAACAACCTTTTGTCCTTTACAGTAAGCTTTCTACTCATAGCACTGCAAATATTTCAAAGATTCTCTCCTTACCACTCCCTTTTTTGTAAAAAGCAAACTGTCCTAGAAAAATGTTTTCTTATCTTGTGTGTGAAGATTCCTGGACCTGTTACCACAGGATCTTCTATCAGATCAAGACTTGTYTGTCACTCCTAGCAATGCTGATTTCAGTTCCCTTCTCATTTTCATCTCCCCTTCCCTGTCCTGTTACCTTCACCCAGTGGATCAACTGTGTGCAGGAAATGAAGATTTGAATGAGTATTTAGTCCATAGTGTGCAACTCGACCACACACAATGTTTTTCCTTTTGAAGTCTGATAGTTCCATGATTTCAGCCAGTACAGGGCACAGCAACAGCTTCTATCAAAAACTGTGGCCTAGCTGTTACGTGTAATGTAATTGATTTGCTGGCCAAGTAGCACGTGCTGCTTCTGATCCTGCTGTGCTGTCATGTGCACAGCAAACTGCCACAACACATGGTAGGTATTCCTAGGTATTCCTTGTGGGTCACACTTGTCCTGCAGAACCCAGCTGTGTATCCRTCAGTTTTTTTTACAGTTTTATAGATTTTGCTAGAGAAGATGGATAGCGTACACATACAACAAATGTTAAACATTTCATGGCTTCCCTTTATCTATAATCTTCCTCTGTGAACTTGGCATGCTGGAATAATTTCCAACCTCATTTTATTGCTTCCAGCATCTCCCACTTTGAATAGAAGCCATCATTCTTGTGATCCATAGGATAAGCTTAATGCTGACTATTTACTTTGAAGAAAAATAGCCCTTGTATTTTTGAAGACAACTGCTTTTTTTTTGTAATAAATTGATAGTATTATATTTAAATTCAGATGAGTCATTGAGACAGGTGTCGTAGAGATTGTTCACTATGTGAATACTGAATTCGTTTGCTGAAGTCCCTTTAGAGGCACTGATAATTGCAAGCTGAATAGTTACTTCTTTGATATTAGGTTCTGCTAAAGGATGTTGTGTGACTAAATTATGTGTATCACCTATTCTATTGTGTTATATTGGGGGAYAAAATATATGCATGTGTGTTCCACTCTACAGACTCATTGCCCTGAAAAYAGATTATAATAGAACTGTAGCCTTTGAGTAAGAAGTGAAAGACCAGAGGGGAAAAGAAAAAAAAAAAAGAGAGGGAAGTCTTCCTTTATGTTATTTATTATAGTCTTGGCAGATTACCCAGCTCTGCAGGCAGATGGTTTCTCAGGAACAAAGATGGAAACTACATTTTGGATTTCCTGAGAACTTACCATACTTGTTCCTAATTACCACGTCGGAAAACATTTCATAATGGAGAATGCTTAGTGCTCATGATCCATGAAAGTATATTTGTGGAACTCAGCTTTAAAGTTTTATCTTCTGCTGCTTGTGGTTGAAAAATTTGTTTGTTTCATGTTGCCTATTACACAAATGAACCCAAGTACCTATAATAATGASTATATGGGCACATGTTAGTCAAAATGTGTTAAAAGAAATTGTCAGAGAAATACTTGAATTATTAAGTAATTATTCTTTTTTTTATTGAAACATTTTGAWATATAAAATAGTTTTATTAGAAACAATGAATTTAGGCTTACTCCCTGACTTGGCAAGATAACTGCAAAAGCAGATGTATTTGTTTTGGTTTCAGTATTTCATGTGTTCAAGTTCATTTTGAAACAATATTTTGGAGGAGAACAGTCTTTGTTTCATTGACATTTCCTAGSTAGTTTCTGTTTAATCTTTTTGAAACTGTTTATTAAAATATATATGATTTTGTTTCAAAGAAATAACTTTAAAAGACATTTCATCAGTTACCTTTCTCTTATATATACTTTCTTTGTCCAAATTATTTTTTTTAAGGTTAAGAGTTTAGAATGGAAGAACAAGGAAAACCAGGAAAAGGGATTTTCATTTTTATTCTCAAATTTTAAGAAATACTACTTACCTTCTATTTTCCCAAACATCTGTAAGGAGACCAGCTTGTATAACCCTATACTTGGTAAGTACTAACACAGCTGATAAAACTACTGCATTTCATCTAATCCGATTAGTGAGAGATGCCTCTGCCCAAATTAAGGTGCTAGTGAGACCAAATACTGACTTTATTTTGTAACATTAAGTGCAYAGGGGAAAGAAAAGACGGAGAGAGAGAGAGAGAAGGAAAAGGAGAGAGAGAGTGCAAGCAGAAGCTGGTGACTGCTTATAGATCCAGCAGTGTCTTGTTGGTCCTTCTTCACCCTGGGCTTGGTTGTGGGGTGTGGGACCTGGTTTGTTCATCTGTTTGTAAGTTCTGTGCAGAAAGGGCTGCTGGGTCAACAAGGTCTGCCGCTGACTGTGAAATCTTTTCACTATTTATGCATTTGAGCAAATGAATTAATGTTTATTGGCTACAAGTGTTACTGTTCTCTTATTAATTAGTATTCCATCTTCTATTGGCTAAATTACTCTGTTGTATCTTATGCTAATTAGTCTGCATGTTCAGTCTTTCTCTTCTTTTCAGATGGTGGGTTTCTTGGGTTGGGAAGTCGGGCCTCACAGGTCTCCCCCTGCAGAATTACATTTTACCCAACTGGAGCTGATTTCAGCAGAGTTGCTGAGTTGGTTTTAATRATTTCATCCTTGTCTTCTGACAAATGTCCTTGTGGCCCCTAAATTCGGTGTTAACCAGGGTATGCTAACCAGATCTTGCCTCTGCTGGGTCTGGAATTTGCATCATCCTGTCACAAACTCCTTCTTTCTGTGGCCTTGACAATATTTGAGACAGGCAACTGTTCTTTGACTGCTACCAAGAGAGTATAGCAAAGCAGTTTTGAGCTTGAGTCATGCTGCCTATGAAGGGCATTCTCCAAAAGTATTTGTCATGAAAAAACATGTTAAAGTTTCCGTTTATGGTTTTTAGTTCTTTGTTTGTGAAAGCCTCTGACCCTTTTATTAGAGTCAATCTTTCTATATTAACCTGAATGAAGTAAATTAAATGTTCTTGTAAAACTATATTTTAATGTGACCTGTATTGTTGATCTCAGGCTCTGAAGAGAAACTACTGCTGCTGAAGTAAAAGGTGTTAGTGTGCTGTTCTTTGGGTGTGTTTGTTTTATCTCTACAGAATCACAGTGTTTGGATWATATGGTGCTTGCTCATAGTTCTGACAGGGCAAAGTTAGGTTTTTGTGCCATTTGCATTTTATCAAGGGCTTGCAGTAGGAAGAGGAAGTTAGGGTTTAACACAATCTTTAAAGCTGATGCTGCTACAATGTGTCTTTCCATACAGAGAGCAAAATGTTAGGTATTTGCTCAGCAAACCTGAATTTTGCTCAGAGTTTTTAGCCCATTTTAARCCAGAATGTTCTTTGGAAATCTTGATTTTGTTATCTCAGGTTTGCATGCATCTATGCACATGATGGTTGTAGGCAAGAGATTTCAAGACTCTTCTTTGCAAAGCAATGCCTTGTACACAGGCTTTAAGTTACCATTTCACCGCTTGAGTAATACAGTCCTATCACCATTACTCTTAGCTGTTGATGCAGCATCTCAAAAGGACTGGTAGTGATCTCCAGACAATTCCATATTCTAAAATCAGGTTGTCAGGGAAGTTTGTTGAAAAGGTCTTAGTTTCTTCCAGTCCATGTGCATTTATTTATATTTCAGAGATTTTTGCGTCAAAACCGTGTTCTCTTGGGACAGTGGACGTTCTCATCTAGGGCAGAAGAACCAGTATAAATACAGCTATGAGTAACAGTAGAATAAGAGTTATTGTGGAGATGCACTGAAGTGACTCAGTGATAAAATAGCTACAAGAGTGATGGTAAGCAGTGCTGAGAAAGCACATCTACCATTGCTTGCTACTCCAGAACAAGAAATATGGAAATACTATTACCTCTTTCTATGAAGATCTTCACTGAGTCTTCCATAGAAGTTTTCCTGTAGTCCTCTGTTCTTCTGTGAAYTATAAACAAGAAGTTTCCAAGACCTTAGTAGAGGAAAATGAAAACAGAAATGTGCACAGATCCCCAAAATTGCTGTGAGTGCCTTATATTGTGCGCAGTCAGCAGCTGTGAGAATTTTTGGAACAATACAGTGATGAAAACAACAGAGCACTGGTAAGTAGAGTAATTTTTTCTCCTCTATGTAGTTYTTCTCTGGCATGCATCTTCCCAACCTATCTGAAAATAGCGATGTGTTTGTTCTGAATTTACAGCCTTGAGGCTGAAAGCAGGGCAAACTAGAACACTGAGCTTACTACTAAGAACAGTTCTATTCTACTGGTATAATGTTTAATTTAGGAGAAGTCATGAGGTATAAATCAGAACAGTAGTTTTATAAGCAAGCATTGATACAGAGCTTTACTGGAGATAGTATGTTGGGCAGAGATTTCTTTCCTGATAAATAGTAACAAGYACCAATCATTTCTGTTACAAGAASGCTAAATATAGTGCCTCCTTCAAATTCTTTAGTATTACAGACTTAGAAGAGGAATGTTTAAAAAGCCCATGAGATTGTTTTTGAGGGGGTTTTGTTTAGTGGTTTGGGGATTTTTTTTTGTTTAGTTTGGTTTGGCTTTGTTCAGATTTCTTTGGGTTTTTTTTGTGTTTTGGATTGGGCTTTTTTGCCTTAGTGTTTATTTTGATTGTAATGTCTTTCTATCTTGTGTATGTCTTCCACCACCTGCAGCTTCCTGTTCTTTTTGTCATCAGCTCACCTCAGGTTCCCAGAGGGGGCRGAGTATGGGTTGGGGAAAGCCTAAAACACAACAGAAAGAAAAAATGGAAAGCTAGGGGAAGGGAATATTTCCTCTTGTGATGGTTGGGTCCATCTAATAAGCTCTGTTTTGCTTTGGTTTTATGTCTATGTCCTCATCTGAAGCCTTGATACCTTCTTCCAAGATGGACRGCAATGTGAAAATACAAGAAATGGCTGAAGGAGGATACATTTGAGAAAGCAGCTGCACCACATAATACAGTTGAAATAAATTSTAGAAAGAGGATGTTCTGAGAGGTTATGAAACTGGGAGACAGTGCACTGCGAAGACGTGTTTACTGCATGTTTAGTCCTTCTGAAAATACTGCTGGTATTGCAGCGCTTGTGCTCTGCTGAATGCTAGTAGATACCAGCGAGAACTGATTTTTGCATTTTTAAATGCTGTGCTGCCAGGCATTAGTTTCCTTATTCACAAGATTGTACTTATACATGCTTGTTTAAGATACCTTAATTTTTAATTTTCTTATAACCTGCTGCTTTTCACAGAAGGAAAACAATGTACTGGGATGTTATTATTTGTAATAAATAAACTATTTATAACCTTGTCGGAGTATTCTGTGCATTTGTTCCTTAGGTAGATGGTATCCAAGAATCATGTAGGTTTTTTCCCACTAAAAATAATGCTTCCATTGAAAAGTATGGATATATGTTTGAAGTCTGTACAGGAAACATTCCTCAGTTTAGCAGCATTGTGATGGGTTTATCACTACTTACCTATGGRGCTTTTGAAATGACACCAAAATAGACCAGCATGGATATCCTCAGTGCCTGGTGCTGGATTTTGTGTATTTGTAATGATAACAAGGAAATCTTCACAGCAGTTTGGCAGATAGGCTGGCTTTGCTTTAGATGCCTTAAAAAGGCTGTCATAATAGAATTGCCTAGACAATTGGTGATTGTTTCTTCACTGCTGTCCAGATTTGTCCCTTCTGGTTTCTGACACCATAAACTGRCAAAGTTGTGCAGGATCCTCTAAAACACTTACTGACTTTGCATAAAGGAGGATACAGTCAGGGAACAACTTTAATTGTTTAGTGTGACTTTTTGAAATCTTTGACTCTCACCATTAGTATCTTTGAACTGCCTTCAGGTTGGCCTATAAAACCACTGAAGTTCTCTCTTGCTCATGTACTGCAGGCTGTGGAAGAATTGAGGCAGTGCTGACATACCATTGCAGTATATGGATAGGACCATCATTTTTCCATACTTCCTTCTTTTTGTTAGTTGTTTTTTTTTTTTTT